TGTCAGAGCTTGTTGCCAATAATGCCAGGGTTGTGGGGCTGGATCCTTGGGGTCCCTCCAACAGAGAATATTCTGTCATTCTGTAATTCTGTAAATCTGGAACTACCCAAACCAGAGCTGTGCTACGGCCCCCAGACATTAATTTAGGAAGTGATGGCTACCAGCTCAGTCACATACAGGAATTAATATTTTGGACAAAATCATTGCAGCCTTACTGCTCTTAGCAAAGGGAGTATGCTTGGGTTTAAATTAGACCTAAGAGTTGTGATGGGGAATGGACAGACTGATGCTCACACTTGTGACCTGGCAGAGTTGTCAAATTGATTCCTGCCCAGATTAATGAGCACAAACCAGGGCATTTTAGGTGATTTTGCATCTACAGAGAAAAATCTTTTCCAAATTAAGCAGCCCTCACACACCTCCTCATTCACTTGTTAAGGCAAATAACTTGATTTCCAAGTCTTCAGGTTTCAGAAAAGAAGGAACAAAACAGTCTTTCTTGGTCCCCTCATTTTTCTTCTGGTCAGGAATCGATTTCACAACTGTGCCTGGTCACAAGTGTGACCATCAGTTTGTCTATTCACCTTCACAACCCTTAGGTCTAATTTAAAACCAAACAAACTCCCTTTGCTAAGAGCAGGAAGGTTGGAGTGCCAGCTTTGGTTAAGACTGAACAATTTGATTTAAAAGAAAACCTTCAGGAACTAAAGCAATGACCTGCCTGTGTCCCAAAACAATAAAAATGATCCATAGGTCTGAATCAGCACACCCACACTAAAATATAATTTATCACAGATATGCCAAAGAACAGCTGACAGTGGGAGCCTATCATACTGTGCAGATGGAATAAAAGTTTTTGCCTTCTACTCTAGATCAGCACTTAAATCTAAATCCTTTCAAAGCCTGGCTCCTTTCCCATGACCTCCAAAATCCGGGTACAGCACACATTGTTACTTCATTCAGGTTATCACATTGTGAAAAAAAAAAAACAACCAAACCCCAAAACCAAACAAGGAACAGTAAAAAAAAAAACAAACAAAAAAAAGCAACCTAATGAAAGCAATACAATGATTAACTGTGGGAAATAAATCCTGAATTTCTCAGTTAAACATAAAAATAAGGATTCACAGACACTTCCACTCCGTGTGAAACACCTGGCCAGGGCACAACTGTGAATTACTCAGGATTAGAACAAAAACTTGGTTTCAGAGTGGTCTATTTTAGCTTTTCTCAGTGTAACCAACTAAAGTGACCAAGATGGTTCAGAAGTTTCTTACAAACCCATCAGTAACTCTTCCATGCAAATAGGCAGGTGCAAAGAAAAGCCACCAGAAACAAGAGAACTCACAGCAATGCTTCTCCCCACCATGTCCTTCTCCACTGCAGAGGAGCCACTTACGTTCTTACAGCTGCAATTCTCATTTTTATAGCTGCAATTCTCACTTTTATTTGTGTAATTCTCAACACCTGAGCAGTTTGAAGTCCCAGCACCAGCTCAGCCTCCTGCTAATAGGATCACACAACATGTGGGATCCCTTCTGGCTGCCTCACAATCACCACTCAAGATGACCCAGGCTTAGAGTTTAATCTAATTATGATTTGAACCATCCTCAGAGGCTGAAGGAGTGCAGGTGACACCAGATCTTAAAAGATCCAAGGGGAAATACCCTTTCAGCTCCACTGAGAGAACTCAAAATTCTCCATCAAACACATACAAAGCTGCTTTGCTGACATAAGTTCTAAAAACCAGGACATGGGCAAGAAGGGAAAAATCTGTCTCTCTCTTTCAGCCAAATGGGTGTTAAAAAATAAGAAAGAACCAGGCCTTCTGGAAATACAAACTGATTTAGTAGTTCTGTAGGAGGGCTGGGTTCTTGTGACATGCACTGAACAGACCTGCACTGAAGGCTCCAATCTGGAAGCTGAAAACTTGGTTCTGTACCAACATCACAGCAGGACTGGGGGGATTAGTCTGAATTAAATGCTTTGAAAAATGAAAAGCATTAGGTAAATACTGAGTACTATTAAAACCCTAAAGATACATGACACAGAATCATTATTATTCATGTGAGATTACTGTGAAAATATTGGTTTATTTATGAATTAAATTAAGTTTGTACTAGGAAAGGGAACCACTGATAAACCAAGAAAACAGGAGTCCTACAGAAAAAAAACATACAAAAAAGTACATGTAACAAACCAAACTACTTCCATATCAGACTGACTGATGGAGACAACTTCCAAGGAAGGTTTTTAAGCAATTTCGGTTCTTCAATCTAGCTAAGTTTAAGACAGAGCAAAGAGAATTAGTCCCATGGAAGAAAATTCAAATAAATAATTTAATTTGGTGAAAAACAGGGACATTTTTCATCCTGGGCTGTTTTAATTACCTGTCATTTGTGTCTTTATCAACTTCAGATGAGGTCTGGGCAACCTATTCCTCCTACTTTGTGTGGGAACAGAGCTCAAAGCCTGAACTTGCAGCTGCTCTGCAATGCCCTTTCTACACCTGGTGCCAGCTATCAACATCCTGCCACCCTAAAATACCAAAAATAAAGCTCTAGGAAAGGGGAGGATACAAAAACAACAAAACCTTGCCTTCCCAAGTGTCCTTGGCATAGCAGCTAATGCCAGAATTCCTTCAGAACCAACGTGAAATGTGTGCCTCCAGAAGAACACAACACCTTTCCACATGGAATTCTGGACTCTAGGAGATAGGCAGGGGCATTTCTAAAAGTTTCTTAACAATCCAAACCTCTAGTCACACACAGCGATGTAAAAGGCAGGGTCCCAAAATGTACCTGCCAAAGGGAACATCCTGCGGAAATCTCTGAGACAAAAACCTTGAAATTCACATGTGAAAATGTCATTTCTTCATTCAGAAAGTGCCTTGTATTGCACGTTCTGGAGTGGTCAGGATGTACCTGGGCGGGGTTTTTAACGTGTGCATTGTCTTTTACCTACAACAGTAACATTTTCCAGCCTCAGCAGATTTTGTTCCACTGCCTGCACTATGAATGAAACCCACAACGGCTAAAAAAGGGCTCTAACCTTTTCAAACCTTTTGGTCCTGAACCCTGTTCATGCTTCTAAAACAGGAAAGTGGTTTGCTGCACATGACAATAGCTCCTCTGTACTTTAGATAGGAAATTCCTGTTATCAATGGCAGCTTTTGAAAAATTCATCCTTGCAGAAAAGCTGAAGTTCAGTGAGCTTATGTTATTTGAGAAGGAGCTTTGAAGTGTCTATTTCTAATGTTCCACTCTGAATGACAAAGAAGTTATTTGCAATTGTGAATCTTTAAAATGCAGATCTGAACTGATGTCTCTGTTTTTGTAACTCATTAACACAAACTCTGCAATTCAGCTTTTACTGAACGTCTTTTTTCCATTCCAAAGTGAAGCACTAGTGCTGTCTCTTAAGATGATTATGCTCTTGGTGAGCCAGTTTTTCCAAATGCACATTCTGAGACCCAACAGAAATTACATTTTCAAAGACATCAGAAATAACATTTTCTTTATCTGCTATTACAAAGTGACAGCCACAGCCCAGGATCTCTTATTGTTTGTGTATTTTACAAGTCTGAAAATGGATGGCAATAGGATTCGCAGCTGGCAGAATGTCTCCAAAGAAGAGTTTTTCTATCAGATTTTACACAAAAGCAGAAACGAGGCTCTGGGCCCCGGATCCCACATGATCCAGCAGATGCTGTTTCCAGCTTCAGCAAGTTTTCATTCAGAAGCAACTGCCTCCATGTTCAACAATGCCCCCATGGATCACACAAGATCCTGTTAGCCTGTATAAATGAGAGGCCTGGTTTAGAATTACAGCAAAAATATAATAAAACACTGCACTACCACCATTTCCCATCTCAAAGGGGTGCACATGTAGGGGTCAAAATGATCCCACATGGAAAGGACTGTAGTTAACTGCATATTCCCAAAAATGAATGTATATATTTTTTTATTCTACTATTACTGTTGTAGTAAAATCTGTACTAGAAAACTCATCTGTGCATCTTCCCCTTGGCATCTCTGAACTTGAAAAGATGCAAATTGTTGGTTCAAGAACAGTTCAAAAAAGAAAATGAACCCGCAGTTGCTATTTCGACTCCAGTGAAGTCAGAGGTGTCTTTTTCACTTCTGCTTTGGTACCTGACACTGCCTCCAATGGCCCAGAGGATGAAGGAGCCATGCAGAAAGGCCAATCCTACACCGTGCACCTGCTCAGAAGGGCAAAACCAGAGGTGGAGGCGTCGATGTTGGTCCCCAGCCATGGGACACGTGGCACAGATTTGGCACAGTGGCACAGCTTTGGCACACGGAGCCTCGCGTGGGAGCCCCGCTGCGAAGAGTGACCCCTTAAAGATGTTCTGGGGGCTCCACCCTAAGGTAGTGACCCCTAAAGCCAGTGTGGGAGCGCCACTGTGACCTCCTAAAGCTGCTGTGGGAACCCCACCATAAGAAATGACCGTGTAAATCTGCTGTGGGAACCCCACCATAAGAAATGACCCTCTAGAGCTGCTGTGGGAACCCCACTGTAAGGAATGACCGCGTAAATCTGCTGTGGGAACCCCACTGTAAGGAATGATGCCCCAAGGCTGCCATGGGAGCCACACCATGACCTTCCAAAGGTGCTGCAGGAGCTGCACCCCAAAAAGTGACCCCTCTCACAAAATTGAGACCCCAGACACCTGCGGGAGGAGCAGCAGCCCAGCACCTCCACCCCAACACCCGCATCCATCACCCTGCAGGTCGTGCTGCTCGCTCCGTCCTGCGCAGGCAACCCAAATCGCACACACCCCCTTTGGCTTGGTGGAACCGCGGTATGGAGCTGGGCACAGCCTCCTCGCTCCCTTCCCTGCGCACAGTCCTTCCGTCCATCCCTCCATCCCTCCATCCATCATCCCTCCACCATCCCTCCATCCACGCGCCCATCCCCGCGGGCCGGGCGGTCCCCGCGGGCCGGGCGGGCTGTGTCGCGGCTCTCCTCACGCTCACCTCCTGAAGTCAAAGGGCATGGTGCTGGCGGCGGTGGCGGCGGGCGGCTGCGGGCCCCGGCCCGGCCGTGGCCTCGCTGCCGGCGGCTGCAGGGCCAGGAAGTGACGGCGCGGCCGCGGCCCCGGCGCCGCGCAGCCCCAGCCCGTTGGGCGGCCGGGCCCGCGCGGCTTCCGCCGCCGGGTCACGGAGCGGGAGCCGCG